TGTAATGTTTAACTTCACCCTTAAAAACTAACTTGTTCAGAGAGGCATAAGCTTTCATAAGCAACAGATTACTTTGTCAGATGTTATACATGGACTTAAAGAGAGCAAAGGTTCTAAATAAAAGGGAATGAAGTATTTTAAATACAAACAACAGGGAAAAGGGAGGCAAGGGCAGGAGAAGGGTGTGAGTGATTAGAAAAAACAGCTCTGGGAAGTGCTGTACCACAAGACAGAAGCAATTAACAACCCATGTTGAACTGGGTGTCCAGTTCTGCCCTGTACTATAAAATTGGTTTTGTAAGCAAGAGGCTCATTGTAGAATGAACTACCAGAGGAGTCTGGTTCCAGTTAAAATCAGACTAATTTTAACTGTGAGAAATACTGGTTTGCTAAAGCCATCTATTGGTAAATGCTTTAGTCCAGCACTGAAATAAAACTAATACTAAAATTATGCTACGACTTGAAATAAGTAAAGAGTCAAGTCCTCTATGAAAAAAATCATGTTATAAAACAACTGCAATTTACCTGTTCAAAGATTAGATCCTATGGGGCTGACAAAAACACCACAGAGAGATATCCCTAATAATTTTTCATAGTAATATTTGCCAAGAATATTAATGGCAGATTTTAATTAGCTTTAAATGCGACATGACTTTAGAGAATTGGACAAGATGGAAAAAAGCAATCTAGTATTGAGTGAAAGGTATAATAATATCTTCAATAAGGCAGACAGAGAATATATTGGAATCTAAACAAGCAATTCTCCATTCCAGGAAGCAGAAGGTAACATAGAAATGTATCATCCTGGGCAAGAAAAATGTATAGAAGAGCTTTCATAATCTTTCTGGCGATACTGTTATGGTCAGTGACATTTTTAAAAGATGTGTTTTATTTTTTGTAACATACCCGATTAAATAGTTTCCAACCATTATGTTGAGGACAAGATAGGCTGAGACGGTCCAGGATGTTAACCTTTCCCTCTTTCAAAGTAAACCGGTTGGAAGAGAGATATGAACGTATGTTGTGGACTGGCAGAACATGTGTTGATAAGGACTTAGTGCCCAACATGATTTGATGAAGTAACCTTGTCACTTTACACTGCTTTGGCTGTGTAAGCAGCCTTAAACCAGGTGTAAATAAAATCTGACAGTCTTCAGGCCCTTTAACACTGCTAAGAGTCCTTAGTGTACATGAAAAGTACAAACCATCCACTGTTAATAACTATAGTGATTGAACAATGGTAATTATTCAGCTAAATAAAAAGCTTTCAGAATGGACTGATTCCTGTGCAAATCTAATACCAAGGATTCACTGAATTACCAGTATATTTACAAACATGTATTTGTAACTCTAAAAATGTTTTGTTTTTAAAAATAACACATCCTTTATAATACATCTCTCAAAATGTGGAACAGAAGTTTTAGATTGAAAGTATTTTTTATTAAGCAATCTGCTTTTTCTTGGTTCAGTTAGTTTGATCTAGGTTAGTTTTAGCTTATGTATACACTTTTTTTAACAAGGAAAGCATGAATGAGTTCTGCTGTACTTTGGAGAAAGGGTGTTTGCTCATTTATCCAGTTTTATTGTTTATTACTTATTAAATTCTTTATCTTCCAACAATGAAAGTATGACCTTTTCCTGCATTCCTGAAAACAATTTTTATAGTCCTTTAGATGTGAATGATGGTTTAAATATTTTCCATGCTTCATTTTGGTTCTCTGCTAACATGTGTTTTAATTTCACACACAAATTGCATTAAGGTAAATTACAAGCAGTAAAGGAAAGTTGAAAAATCTTCCTAAAGTTAGATATACTGTGCACATGCACGCACACACACACTGGTGGCTATTTTGGTATCAAAAATCCTGTATGTACTCAAAAGATAAGACAACCCTGATTATAAGACAAACCCCCAATAATTAGATTTTATATATGGAAAATTATAAATTTGGTAATATTCCATGTATAGAATCTAATTATTGGAGGGTTGTCTTGAATTTGTGAACCTCCCACTGCTACAGCAGGAAAAATAAATCTAGGAGTTACGTAGCCCCTTTGTCCTCTGCCCCCACAACATCTTCCCTCTGCAGCCCTTTCCCCATTCCTTACTATCAGATCCTGCTCTTTCCGAGCACATGAAAGTGAGGAACAAATTTGAAAGAAAAACTGACCTTGAAATCCACATAGCTGTAGCAATTTGCATATAGGTACCCATAGACTTAGTTCATCTAGAAGTGATGCATTTTACATTTTTTGAAACTACTGCAACTTCTAGCACAGGTATTCCATAAACAACACTGTTAAGCAGCACTTTAACAGCAGAGCTCAATGGTTCAAGTCTGTGTGGCTTTACCACTGAGCAAGTATCCTCCCACCCAGACTCATAGGTCTGAGGCTTCTGGATACTCCTTGGCAGGGGAGATGCCATGATCAACAAACAGGTTTTCCCCAAGGTCAGGCTGGTCCCTTCCTTGCACCCCAAGCAAGTTGACCCCTGCGATTTCCCCAAGGTGGTTTTCTCAGGGTGAGACCTATCCATTGGACATTGGGGCAGGCTGATCCCTGCACGTTTCCCTAGTGTGGGAAACTCAATTACACAATTTGTGGTAATGGGGGGCTATTTTCACGCTTTCCCCTTGGCTTGCTCCCTGGCCTTCTGACTAAGAGCAAGTGAGACTAGGGAGCATCTGAACCCCAGGGCATCTGGGCCAAACTGCCTTTTTTGTTTCAAGGACCAAATCAGTGACCTGTGACCAGTGAACTGATTAAAATTCATCAGTTTCAATCAAAAGCAGTTATTCAAAACAAGCCTTTCCTTCTCCCAAAGACACAAAGCACACACAGCCAAGACTAAAACAAGAGCCTTATATGAATGAGTCTCACCTACACTTTAGTTTTTCCTCTCCTGCTTCCTAGCCCACCACTGACTGGGAGAAACAGATCATCCTGTTTCCAGCATGTGCTTTCTCTCCAGCCATGTACAAGTATTCCAGTTCAGCCGGGAGAATTGCCATTCTCTTGGAAGAAAAAAGAAGCATACAAATATTCACTGAATTTCTCCCTGGGGAAAAATGCTGCTTCCAAGATCATTTAGGTCTCAACCTGGAAGATTTCTCATGCAAAAGAAACTCAGAAGAATCAATTCTTGCACACTGCTCTCCTGGTTTGGTCTGGGAGGGGAGAAGTACAGCAACAGCTGCTCCCTGACTTCTCCAAACTTGGGACTGCCAGAAATAAACTTAAGAGCTTATATATACACAAAGTTAAACCAATTTAATAAGTACAATGAAAGCTCTTTCACTAACATAATTATTTCAGTTTTCAATGGTTATAGCTGTTTAGTTTGTGCTTGTTAAGTTTATAAATGCATGTTAAACCACTACAAGTCAAGTTTAAATTGATGTAAATCTTGACACAGAAAGAGTTGCTCTGATTTTAATAAATGTATTGAAAAATCATACATTTAAGTAAGCCTATGAATTTTTGCATACTAAGCAGGTCTTACAGGCTGAGCTGAAGCTACTTGGAAAATATGACACTATATTATTTAGCTTCACAGGAATCAGTCTAGCAGGAAAGCAACCTATCCATTCATCACAATGAATTGTTTACCTCAAAGCCAACTGGGACATTTAAAATATCATAATATCTCATGGGTAATAA